GAGACCTTGGGGACTCTATCTGGCCCCTGACCCTTTCTTCTCTGGGCTCTTCCCCAGCTCTCTGCTTCCTATGTGCCATGAGCTAAGCAGCTCTCCTTTGCCGGCCCTTCCACCATGATGTTTCTCCCTTGGAGCCAGCAGGCCATGGACTGAACCCATGAGCCCAAACAAACCCTTTCTCCTTGAAATTGTGTATGTCAAGTATTTTGTCCCAGCAATGAAAGCTAACTAATACAACAACAGAAAATAAGTAAGCAAGGGCCGAGGATTTAGCTCAGTGGTTCCGGTGCCTGCCTTGCAAATGCAAGGTCCCGAGTTCTATCCCAGTACCAAAAAAATAAAAAATAAAAAAAAATAAAAAATGTAAGCCAGTAACTTGTGAGACAGGCAGAATTAAGAAGATGTGCTAAAAATAATAAGTTAGTAACTTAGAAGACATGTGAAAATAGAATAAATGGAATTTGTTACAAAAGGGGAAAATAAACTAGAGTGTTACCCACAGGTGAAGTGGTTAGAAAAAGCAAGCTGTAAGTTACGAGGTACAGATGGTGGCGCCCCTGGGCTGATGGCCACATCATTACCTATGGCTCCTACATCCTCTGCTCCAGAAATGCTGACAAGTTGGACGGCTACCAGAACACTAATGAGCCATGTGAGCAGACTAAAGACCAGGCCTAGTCGCCCTTGTACCTCCCAATAAAGCAAATACAGATGGATTCCAAGCATCTTCCATTTGCCAACTGCCTTCCTGAGTCTCAAATCCGGTCCTCTTAGTTATACCAGGAAACACAAGACTCAGGTAACATGGTCCTTTCAGCCTGTCAACCAACGCCAGCGCTTGCCTCTTGGTTCTGGCTGAATGTTTTAAAGAGACCCATGAATTAGCCTTTGGGATTTGATCATCATACTCTGGCCTCAGTCTTCCAGGTGTGTGCCCTCTGCAAAAGCCTGCTTTTCACGGAGGCAGCTACTACATCAAGGTAACTTCGGCAGGACAGAGGGGCTGTGGATCAGATGCCACACTTTTCTCCTCTGACTGCTGGTTTCCAGTTTGATTCTGCCAAAAGGAGGCACTGGAGGGAGACTGGCAAGCAGAAAGAGGAAAGGAGGGACTCCCTATAGGATACAGGTTCTCATTGCTTCCTCCCAGCACATTAACACCTCCACCTGCAACGTGTTGAGACCAGACCCTGAGCACTTTCAAAAACCCCCCTCAAAAAGTTGACAACATGAGATAAAAGTCAGGGTTCAAAACATGAAACTGGAAAGATAAAAATTAACAAGTGTTTCATTAAATGCCCACAAAAGATAATCTTATTCGACCTATAAATTGCAATTCAACTCTTTAATAGTTCTATATACATCCAATATGGTTTACATTATAAAGACAAAATGCAGAATATTTTTTAAAACTCAGAATTGTCAGTATCTTTTACTTCTGTGTTTTGAATGAATCCCCCGAATCTTGCATGTTGGAAACCTAATCCCCAGATATGTTCAGATTTGGAGGTGGTACCGTTGACAGGTGTTTGGGTCATGAGCGTTCCGCCCTCCGGGATGAAACTGCACCCAGCTCTGAGGGTGGGCAGGTTACTGAAGGAGCAGCTCTGCCATAAACATGAGGTCTCTCTGGCCAGCTCACTCTGTCTTGCCGTGCTGTCTTCTGTGTTACTGTTATAGAAAGCCAAGTTAGACAGAAGTCAATATAGTCAGAGAGAGCTTGGGCTCTCAAGGAAGTCAGCACAAAAAACAGAGACATCTTGAGTTATAGCTAGAGGCAAATCTGGAGAGAGCCAGGCCTCAGGAGAGACAACCAGTAGCCTACTGGCTCCTCTCCCTGGAGATAACCGGCAACTTGAGATTATTCTGTAATTACTGCCACCTGGTCCACCCGATAGGTAGGTATCTGTGCTCAGGCAGGTGGCCCTTACTCCACTTGGACCCATTCCCTTTTCCTTTCCACAAATTCCTGCGATCTTTCCATATATCCTTGCTATGTGACGGGTGATTTGTGTCCCTACTGGATCAATATCAGCGACCTGTAGGTTGATTTGATTTGACCCACGTTACACTCCCACTGTGCCTTGCTGTATAAATTACCCCTGACAAAGGGCCTCGCTGGCCACCCCATTCGGGAGCCCACCTGGAGCTCTTCCTCCTCTCCTCCTTTCCAGGAAAACTCCCCTAATGTCCTCCTTTGCTTTGTGATGGTTCCTGGATGTTGTGAGACCATGAACTCGGCACATTTGTCACCTAACGGATCGGGAGTTACATTTTGCCTCCATCGTTGTGACAGTAAGAAGACCCTGCAGATGCCAAGCAGAAGCAGGCCACGCTCCTGGATATCTCAGGAGTCACAGCAAACTTCTGTTCTTTGTAACTACCCGATCTCAGGTACTTCTTATTGCAACAGAGATGAACGAAGACATGTTTTTCACCTCAGTAATGTTATACTAAACAAGGGGTGGGTGAGGGCCTGTTTTTAATTTGGTGTGAAGTATGCATGTGTTGGGCAGGGGTAGGATTCAAGAAGCAAACCCCTAATAGTAAGAGAAGTCATAATCTACAAAGGCCTATAAAGGGCTGGAGAGCCTCTCGCTTGGCATATTCTTTTTTTTTTTTTTTTTGGTACCAGGGATCGAACTCAGGACCTTGCGGTTGTGAGGCAGGCGGAAGAACCAGCCGTCTCGATTGTGGGAGGCTGAGCGAGGATGGGTGAGTTGGGGGATCAGGCTCAGGGCCCAGGACAGTGTGCAGCGTGGCCTGACACTGTGTAGGGCCACAGTCCCATTACATCTAGAGCCTTCAGGCCAGTACAGCTCTCCGCTCTCACAGGGACAGATTCACTGCCCTCACGTGCCTCTTATTTTCCCTCCTGAACTCTGGCACCCACTCGACCCCCACCCTTTGTACCTAGCATGTTTTCTTTCTATAGCAGGGCTTCTCCTGTGTGTGTGATTCTTGGCCTTTACTTGTGACTCTGATTCTGTGGACGCTGTGCTTTGAGAAACTCTGCTCTCCTGAATCATTCTCTCCGATCTCAAAAGTAGCTCAGAAGCTCAGGTATGAGGAATGTTTCCTATGTTCCCATTTCCCATGGTCCAACTCTAGAAGACAAATGGCATTTGAGGTAACCAGAAATAAAAATCTGGGATTAAAGTTGGAGCCAATTGGATCACGTTGGATTTCATGTCTAGCAAGGATTACAGCCCCATATTTTGTCTACAACCGCAGGCTGAGTGCCGGAGGCAGACCTAGCTCCGGGGCTGAGGGAGCTGAAGGAGTGGAAGACAGGCGGCGTTCCTCATGTTAACTGGGGGCCCAAGACCAAGGCCGATTTCAAAGTGCATTTGCAGCCCTCTCGGTCTGGGCTGCAGGGCCCTTTGTCACAATGTGGTCACATCTGACCTGACTTTTACACTTAGAAACAAACTCCTCCTCTGCCATTGTTTGCAATCAAATTTGCATACTATGCTTTGCTTTTGCTATGTGATGAAAAGCTTTGTTTTCCATTTAAAGGAACATTAGACAATAAGATGAGAAGAAGGAGATTATTCGGGGTTCACACACTGTAGTTCTAAGATGGAACACAAAGATGGGCCTACACTCCTAATGCCCGGATGTCTGCAGAGGAATGGCTCTACTCGGAAGGGACCTCGTGCCCTCTGACCTTCCTTTTCCCCTTTAGGACCAGATATCGATATGGGAGAAATACAGCTCCTGCTCTGTTAGGTGTCAAATGTGCTGGGTTCGCGGCCCCACAACATGGAGGAATGAAGTCTGGAACCGAAGAAAGAAGTTAGGAGAGTTTTATTGGAAATACAGAAAGAAGAGGAGCTCTCATTTCCAAGAGGGGTCCTGAATGGGTGGCCACTGAGGAGGCCCTTTGTCAGGTCATTTATAAGCAAATTCCCCGTGTGGGTCAGATTGCCATCAGCCTCCAGGATGCTGAGGATAGCTTCTTAGCTAAAACTGATGTCACAGGGAAATGAGTCACTTAGCAGGGACACCTGGGCAGAACAGACATTTTTGGGCAGGGATGGGACAGATGCTCTGGTCACCCACTTGGGTGACTGATGCCTATCTGGATTTACTAGACCTGGTGGTGCAAATCATGACATAATCGCAAGTTACTGTTTATCCCTTAGGGAGGCGCGTAGGCCTGGCCATTGCATCTTTATCTTGCGGCCTGGTCTATGGAGGCGCCTCCAGCCACAATTCTGACATCTTTATTCTTCCTGCTGGCTTTCTTGAGAGCCCAGTGCCTCTCCTCTCCGACTGTGTGCCAATTTCTATCTGGCCTAGCTGCCTGTAATAACAGCACAGCAATCCGAGCGCTAGGGTCTGCCCAGCCGGGCTTTTTTCACTCCCTGCCTCCTTAACTGGGCAAGGCTGAAGGCCCAGGTGGGAGTTTCTAGTTCACTTCTCCCACAGGCAGTCCTTTTTCTGAAGGGAGAGCAGGGGGAAGCCTCGAGGCTTGAAGAGGGCTGGAGAGGGTGACATGTCAGGAGGGCTTCCCTGGTCTCCGTGGGGAGGTAGCTTTCCCTCACTGACTGGGTACGCAGGGCTAGGCACAGAGGGAAAGTCCTCCAAATCCACCAAACACTGCAGGTCTGGCGGTTAGAAAGCAAGGGGTGGAGGCCCACGGCGCGATCGAGGTCCTGCGTGCGGCTCCCAGCGCCCGAGCTCGTGCGCGGCCCGGGGCGCGTGGAGACTTCACGCGGGTGAACTCGGGCTTCACAGTGGATCGCTTCCCCGAGATTACTGTTAAGGGTTTAAAACTTAAAACTAAATACCAGCAGAAGGAGAGGCGCGTGGTGGGGAGCGGGGGTCGCGGGGCGAAGCGAGCGGGTCCGGCTGGAGCGCGCCCCGAAAAACCCGCGCCGCCTCCTCGGCCCGAGGGCGCGCCCTGGGAGGACAGAGCAGCTCGGAGGGGCCGGCCCTGCCCAGGGGGAGGGAGGAGGGCGGACGCGGCCACCCCCTCCGGGAGGGCGGGATAAACGCGGCCGCACTCGCAGCTCTGGCGGCGGGAAGGATGCTGCTCCGCGGGATGCCGTGGGGCTGCGCCGCGCTCTGCCTGCTGAGCCTGCTGCGTGAGTGCGGGAGGGACCCGGGCGGGACCCGGGCCCAGCGGGGGGGGGGGGGGAGGGAGGCACCCACGCGGGGAGGGAGGCACCGCGCCCACACCTGGGCTGGGAGGGCGGGCGGACCGAGCTCCCTGGGGGCAGGAGCTGCGGCGCCGGGCTGCCTAAGGTGCGGGGCGCACAGGAGGCAGCACCCACCCGGGAGGGCGGAGCGGGGAAGTTGTCTGGCGTGGGCTGGAGGGGGAGCGTCGCTGGGGAAGCCCGGGCGCCCACGGGCCCCACGACCCCGGAGGCCGGGAGGAAGGCCAGGAGGCGAGCGGAGGAGTCTGGAATGAGGAGCAGCCGTGGGTGAGCCTCGGTGAATACGGAAAGGGAGTTGGAATTGCCCGGCCCACGACCTGGCGAGGAGGGGAGGTAGAGGGCGTCCGCACCGCGACTCAGATTCCTGCGAAGACCCCAGCGGAGTTCCCTGCCCGCCCCGCCCCGCCCCGCCCTGAAGCTGGTGGACAGGTCAGGACACTGCAGCTCACACACACCTCCGCCTGTTCTGAAGCCCCTGCTCACTTTGGCCAAAAAAGTCACAGTCACGTGGGAGGCCAGCGCCTCTCAGCACCTGGAGATTTGGAACTTTGCAAGCTGCCCAGTCTTTTGCTTCTAGCCCTCCGGGGATCCCCTTCCGACGCTCCATATGCTAAAGGCCACCCACTGTGCGGACCTGCAGAGTGACCCAGACCCACCCGCGGGACTCTGCTTCCAGGCTCCTCTGCTAAACGTCCTCTTTTGGGTCGCCCTGGAGGAGGCCACCGGCAGAGGCTTGAGGCGCTGAGTGAGGTCGGGTCGCCCGTGTGGCAGCACAGGGCATGCTCTTTGGGACAGGGTGGAGCTCTCGTCTCGGGGTGAAAGCCCTGCCTGCGCCCCCACAGCAGGGCCGGGTTGGCTGGCTCAGGTGCCCGGCGAGGCCACCCCCTCCTTTGCCTTCAGGGCTCGGGATGCTGGGCCTGGGCCAGCCAGGCCCACCCTTACTTCCTCAGCAGGCCGGGTGCAGTCTTGCCTGGGCCAGACCTGCAGGGGCGAGGGTGGAGGGAGTGGGGCTTCTGCAAAACTGGGCAGAGACCCTGAGGACTTAACTGGCTCGGCTCTGGAGAGGCGGTGGGACACAGGTCCCTGTGCCCAGCCTTGCCAGAGGACTTGGCCAATTCTAGCACCTCACCTTCCCCAAGAGCTGCCGAGGGCTTTTGTTCAGATCTGTTTTGCTTTTGACGCTAAGAGTTATTTTCTGTACCAAGGTGCACTGGGGGCCCATGAAATGGGGGACTGTGCCTTTGTGATCAGTGGCCAGGGCAGAAAGTGGGACGGTTTCGGGGGGAAATCCTCCAAATCAGTCATCAGTTATTGCTGGGAAACTCAGTGCAGAAAGGGGTTCGGTGCGTTTTGTTACCACCCCAACAGAGCATTTGCTCTGGGGAGATCTCTTTTCTGCGCCTGTGACGTGTTGGCATGGCCAGAGACATGAAGGCCAATCCCTAGTGGGTTCCTGGTCAGGGTCAGGGTGGGCTGGGGTCCCCGGGCAGCACTGCCCCGGAACCGGCCAGTCCCCTTATGGGGCTCAGGGCCCCTCTCCTCCAGAGGCCGGCGGTCCTCATCCTGACGGTGCCCCAGGCCTGCACTCCCATATTTCTTCTCTTCCTTTGGTCCTTGGTGCTTGTGGACCTCACACCCATATCCTGTCTGGGGCTCTGTGTAGGAGGGAAAAAGAAAAGGGAAAAGAATTTTATCAGCTGTTTTCCAGAGGGGAGATGACTCCACCCTTTGACTCTGGGCCACATGGCCCTGTCGCTGAGGAAGAGTCGCCTTGGGGACTTCTGACTAATTCAGTGGTCCCCAGTCTCTCCCCTGTAAGACCAACCCTGCCACGGTCTCCTGCTGGCGTCCCTTCTGCCTGTGGCTCCACCTCCTGGGCCTCCTCACTCATTTGTCCTCATCGCCTGCCTTTCTGAGTCTTTGTCCCCCAGAGCTGGGGCGAGAAGTGCCAAACTGCAGCCCATAAACTCAGGAGCAGAGCCCTGCACAAACAAGTACAGGGGAGGAACAGGTCCACTGTCGGTGGTCTTGTTGCCTGGTTTCCTTTCAGCCCTGAGCTAGAGGGGCTGGACTCATATTGGGGGCTTGGTTCAGGGCTGGGTGTGCACCAGGAGTGCACCAGGACTCGGGGTACACTGGCTTGCCTCTCTCACCGACTTCAGTTGCTCTCACTAAATGCCCTGCAGTGCAGAGGGCTAAAAATGTGAAGGTATGCAAAAGAGAACCAAAAACCACGCTTCAAAGAAACCTTCACAGTCTTCAGGGCACAATTTCCATATTTTGGGGGCTTTGACTTCCCTAATGAGAGCATTTTCTTCCCTCCTTAGCTAAGAAATGAAAACACATTCTCTACGATGTTTAGTCTCCAGGGCCCTGATTTTGTGCTCTAAGAACAAAGATGCATCTTGGAAGAGTGGATGGCCACATAGGGAGGCACAGGGAGGTGTCCCTCCCAGACCTGCAGGCCAGACCCCGGCAGGGAATGAATCACTTCCCTTCAGATGCAAAGGAAAAGACCTACTGCTTAAGTGGGAAGCCTGCGCCTTCCTGATTTGGGAAAAAAAATTAAGAAAAAACATGTCGTTCTCAGGGGGAGCGGCATCTCTAAGTAGCTCGCTCCATTGTTTAGGAAAATGTGTTAGTGGGTCTGTGGGTGAGAATAGGGCAAACCCTGGTGTGCCAGGGAGGGCGTGCAGGAGGCCAAGCTGCTGTGGATGATAAACTGGGCCTCGCACTTGGGTGGGGCCCAGAGATGGGTGAGGGGCACCGGAGCCCAGAAAGAGAAGTGGAGGAAGGAGGAGGAGGTGCCTGCAGCAGTAAAGGAACAAAGGGGGTAGGGTGGGAACGACCTGGCTGCCAGCGAGAGTCCTTAGGGCGCAGCTTCCTTGTGGTGCACTGTCTGACATTTCAAGGGGATGCTGCTGTCTCTTTGGCACTGCCCTGTAGTCTTACTCCGCGCTCGCAAACCTGCTGTAAAAATTGGCTACTCACACTGGCCTGGCGTGGCTGGGTACGTGGTGAGCTTATGGTACGGAAGTGCCCGACAGAGACCTTGGGCTGGGACCCAGGAGTCAGAGGCACAAGGCGTTTGAGGAAAAGGCAAGTGGGAGAAAAGTAGGCAGCCTGCGAATCCTGGGATATTAGGTGCTCTGGGATACAGCGTGGGGTGGGGGGCGGACAGGGCAGTCTCAGGACCCCAGGCACAGATGCTGGCGGCCTCACCAGCACCCAGACCCCCTTCTAGTGCAAAGCGACTCAGACTCGTGGAGACCCGGGATTGGAAGCGTCCCCAGCAAGACCCCTTCCGGGTGGCTCACCTAATCCCCCAAAGCAGCTCATCCTTTTAAAAAATAGCATTTGTTTTTCCCCCCCTTGCATTATAGTAGAATTAGCCTTCCTGTAATTTCTAATCATTCTGATTCTATGATTTTGATTGTCATAGTTTTATTTATGTATGTATTTATTTATTTTTGATACTGGGGATCAAACTCGGGTCCTTGTGCTTGCGCAGCAGGTGGCAAAACCACTGAGCTAAATCCCCGGCCCTGACTGTCATAGTTTTAATCTGGTCCTTCATGAAAATTCCTAAAGACCTTTGGGATCCCATTGGGGAAGGGATGGAATGGCTCTGATTTTGTGCTCCACGGGACTGAGGGAGACCCCGGGGAAAATACAGTCCTGTGTTAAGTGAAATGAATCTCGAAGAAAGTAATTTATTCTCCCTCTGCCAATTCTTCTTTTTCAGATCAAGGGTCAGCAAACTTTTCATGGAAAAGGCCACACAGTAAATATTTTAGGTCTCAGGGGCCACATAGGGTTTCTGATGCCTATTCTTTGTCTTAAGACACTTCCCACACGCCCTACCAAAATCTGCCCCTGCGCTGGATTCCTTCCCTAAGCCATAGTTTGCCCAGCCCCTGACCTGGAAGAAACAACGCCAGGCCTTCAGTGGGGTCACTCGGTAGGACTCTTCTCCCAGTGATCTTTCATGGGTGCCCCCTAATTTAATAGAGTTCCTCTAAACGCAGCGTGGTGCTGTTCAGCCTGCTATGCCTCCTGGCTTCCCAGCACTGTGCGGGGGGCCGTGTGGAAAACACCTGGGTGGAGGAGCAGTCTCGGCACAGAGGAAATGTGCCATCCCGCTGAGGGCCCGTTAGTGCCGTCCTGAGGAAGCGGCATCTGCACGCTTGTGCCAGATGAACGCTCCAGATAAGTCCTCAGCTCTCCGGGAAGCAGAGGAAGGGGCCTAGCGTGACAGGGCCTGGGTTCTGAGCAGTTTCCAGGCAGGCCTACTGCATAATCTCCTTGGTTCCTCAGAACAGCTAAGAGGTGGGCTCTGCTTTGACTCCACCTTGGGAGAGGTTTACAGAGATGAAATACGACCACTTCCCAAGGCCACTCAACCCGGAAGAGGACCATTTGTTTTTGGTTTGGTTTTGTTTTTTGAGTCAGGTCTCGTTATGTAGTTCAGGCTGGCCCAGAACTCACTGTGCAGCCCAGGCTGGCCTCGAACTTGCAGCAATCCTGCTGCCTCAGCCTCCTGAGGACTGGGATCACAGGTGTGTGCCAGGTGTGGTGGTGCCCACCAAAGTCCCAGCTTCTCAGGAGGCTGAGGCTGGAAAGTTATGAGTTCCAGGTCAGCATAGGCAACTGAGCGACTTAGTAAGACCCTGTCCCAAAATAAAGGATTGAGCGGTGCGTTGGCTCAGTGCAGAGCCAACCAAATAGAACACCTGGTTGTGCAGCTCAGTGGCAAAGTGCCCCTGGGCTGGTTCAGTCTCCATACTCAAACAACAGCAAAACATATCAGCAACAACGTTTCTCTCTGGCTGGCCGCTCCAGTTTGGATGGGTGGGCAGGTTGGGCCCTGCTGGCTGAGAGCAGGAAACAGCAGCAGTGGAAAAGGAAAACTAGGGGAGTCTACAAAAAGCTAGACGAAATACCCAGAAACTTAGTCTTTTTAAGTCCAGGAATCTATTTAGATAACAGAACTCGCGGGATCTCTGATGTTCCAGTTGTAGGTAGAAGTCTTTTCAGAACACATGGCCCCAGCTCTGTCCCTGCCGAGGGTTTGACCTGAGACTAAGAGGTAGTGTGGGAGGGGTGTGTCTGCCCGCAGTTCAGTGGCTTCCGTAGTGCTTACTGAGGTGTGGGCATCGTTCCTTACGGTGATGACCCACACCAGTGTGGATTTGGTGCTCAGGTCTGTCTTTCATTTATTTTCACTTCTTAGTTCGAGCCCTTGCTTCCCAGTATTTGTTCTGATAGTCTCTTCCTAGTTTGCAGCCTCGGCTAGGATGTCAGATCAGCATTCTCAGGACTGTGCGCCTCTGAGGGGCACCTGTGGCGATCACTGTGTGAATGTCACTGCAGCCATCCTGTGACTTCTGACTGGCTTCTTAATCTCCGCCCACTGGTGTCCTGCTAGCTCAGCCACCTCCCTGGCTTCCAGTTTGAGAGACAAGATTGTGCAGGGTTAACTGCGGTCCCGTGGGTCCCTCGGCGTTTCAGCTAAGGATGGACTGCGGCAGCCTTCCGCTCAGCCTTTCGTCATCCTAGTTCTTTGCGGGGCTGGGGTGCACGCGCTGCTGTTGGGAGTGGGGTGGGGTGGCCTGCGGGTTGCTGCTCCCCCTTCAGAGTTGGGGCTCAGAAGCTCAGATACAAGGGGAAGCTGGGGTTGATGGCTCTGGCCCTGGACGTGTGAGGAAGAAGTGACGCGTCTCGCCTGGCAGTATGTCATAGCTTCCATTCCCGTGTGCTCACCTGAGCCCTCTGGAAGGCGCCCTTGGCCCGGTGGCCTTTGCTCTGTGCCAGGCCACACGGCCCATCCCTTTGCCTTGCCTTTCTGGCCTTCCTCTTTGTGCCATTCCTCCACTGCCTCAGAAGCCCCTCTGCTCACCCTCGGCTCCGAGCAGTGACTCTGAGGATGATTTGCTTTTCCTGTGTGCACAAACCCTACTTCCCTGTCCTCTGTGCCTGGCCTGTGGGAGGGAGGAGGTTGCTGCAGCAGGGAGCCCGTCCCCAGCAGGTCAGCAGCTGGCCAGGGCCCACAGTTGCTTCATTCTTCTGGCTCAGGCGCCTCTGTCCTCAGAACTAGCAGCAGGCCTTTCTTCACATCTGGAAAAGTTCAGAAGTGTTTGTCTGGGTGAAGGAGGCCCCTGGGGGAGGGGGTTCAGAGCATGACATCACCTCAGCCAGGCCGGCTTCCTTTGGAGAGGGAAGAGGGCAGGGCCAGACAGAGCCAGATGGGATTCCGGGGAATTGATGCGTTGGGGGAGAGGAGGGAGGGTGTGGGCGGAGAGGGGGTTCCTGGGGTGTCATGAGTGCTGCCGACAGCACGGCCCCTCAGTCCAGTGTCCTGCCTTCACCTCACCTGGCCCGTAATAATTCCCTGTCTTGGAGTCGGATTGCGGAGGTGTGTCCATCTGGAGAAGGCGGGGCCTAGGGGCCTAGGGTGACTTCTTCAGCTGCTTTGTCTGCTCGGCCCACCTCCAGTCCCTCCCTTCCTCTCCAGTGGCAGAGGGCACCAGATCCCTAGCAGCCCCCATGCAGCCTGCCTGCCTTGCAGTAGCTACTCAAGGTTCAGATAAGCTTCAGTGTCCACTGCCTCTTGCCTGGTGCAATGTATGCCCTTCCCTCTGGCCCAGCACCCTGGTGACTTTAGCTCTTCATCTCTGAGGCAGATAGTAATGTGGCTTCATCCTTCTCCTCAGCTGACACATGTTATGATGTGGTCACTGCACTGGTCATTGCTGTCCACCTCCTCGCAGCAGGCCGGGAGGTGGGCGGGGTGGGAGAGTGACACCCTGTGTTATCTTTAGGGGAGGCGTTCTTGGTCTCAGGTTAATCGATGCCGAGGGAAACAAGGTTTCATTCTACGTCGCTGTTTACCTGGACACCTGAGGAAAAAATCCAGACCTAGATGTCAGTGGAGAGAATTTGGAGACAAGCTTTAGGGTGTCCTGAGGCCTTTCCCTGCCGATGGTAGTGCAGGAATCAGCTCCAAGGACCAAGTCTACCCAGTTTCTCCAAGGCCCTGGGCCAGAGTGCAGCAGAGACCCTGATTCTGTATGTCGGCCTACTGACAGTTACAAGTCAGGCCAACAGACTGGTAAATGAAGTGAGCTTCTACCTTCGGGCCACATGGGAGGCCAGACTGGAGTTTGGGCCTCTCACCGAGCTCTTGGAATCCAGGGCCCCATGTGGCTGATCTGGATGGTTGGGTCCTGGGCCTGCCCACTGCCCTTCTGTCTTTCCTGCTTGGGCTGTGGCCCACTTTCCGGGGTGTCTTGCATGAATACATGGGACACCCCAGCTACACACTTAAGTGCTAGTCCTGTCCCCTGGCCACCCTGGGGAACACACACTGAGATGCCGCAGTTCGCTCCTGGGGTTCACTCTGGGAGGATGGGCTGAGAGAAGCGGTCCATGTGGGTCCTGGATGTGAGAACAGAGCCATTTGAGAAGAAGTTCCAGGACTTCTGGTCCCCACGCGAGATCTAGAGGACAAGGTGCGTCCCGGTTGGTCATCACCAGAGGCAGGATGGGGTCTGGGCCCTGTTGAGGTGCAGGGTGGAGGTGGAAGTCCTCTTCCTGACTCTAAAGATGGTTTATGCAAGAAAGGGTAAGGGAATTATGAAGCTCTGGAGACTGACTAACCCAGGAACAGTCTACCGTAGGAATTTAGGCTTTGTCACCGCATGGATTTTCCCAACAATCTGTGTAAGGCAGACAGAACAGGCCCTTACTTAAGAGATAAGTAAACTGAGGCACACAGACGTTAAATCACATAATTAGTTACTGTCAGAGCCGAAACAATGCTATCTTCCCTCCATGTTTGATGAGAAACCCGGCCTTAGTTCTCTAGTCCATCAGCAGGATTCCTAGGTCAAAGCTTCCTAAAAGAAGTCTCAGAAGCTGGGCGTGGTGGCACACACCTATAACCCCAGCACTCAGGAGGCTGAGGCAGGAGGATCGCCATGAATCTGAGGCCAGCCTGGGCTACATAGTGAGTTCAAGGCCAGCCTTTGTCTAAAAACAAACAAAAACAACTGGGTTTGCTTGCTACAGCTGAGCGTACCCAGGAACAGGGAAGGAGAATGTGCTGGAAGGTCATGAGCGAAAGGGTGAAGGGAGTTTGGGAATGGAAAAGACCTAGAAAGGTAGATGTTTTTAGGAGATTTAAGATATTCAGATATAGTGAGTGTGATTATCCAAGAGTTAACGTATTGGGCAGAGAGTGACCGAAAAAGAGCGGCATCGGAAGGGAAATAGAAACATGTCCTTCCTCAGATTTTCAATCTTTGCAAAATTTATGAATATGTAATTTTATACTTTTGGTATTTTACTGAACACATTATGAACATTGCCTCATGTTTGCATGTTGCTACAGTTTCCATAAATATTTATTTGATGATTACATATATGATTATTGTAGCGATGATGGTATATTAAGTGCATATTTCATTTATCCTGTTATATTTCATTTCATTGCTTATAACTTTTCCCCATTTTAAAAAAAACTATACCAGACACGTGTGTGCCTGTAATTTTTTAGTTTTTTACTTGCTTTAGCTTTTGCTTGCTCTTGTCTAGCAATAGGAAATGAGTCCACCGTCCAGGAAGACGTTGGTGCTGGTGCTCTGTAGCTTGGGGCCCAGGGAATGTTCTACCTGAAATCCAGGAGTTGAATCAGGTGATGTCGTGGAAGGTTTGATGTCAGGAAGGCTTGCATTCTGAGTTTTCCTCCTTGTTTTCCTGCAGCCTCTGGCTTCACCAATGTCAGCCCGACTGCTGATACCACGGAGACATCCACCTTGAAAGTGTCCTCACCGGTTCCTACCAGTGGGTCCCACCAGGAGACCACAGAACCAGTGGTCCCCGGAATCACCAGCCCCCACCCTGTGTCTGTCGACACCATGGAGACCACAGCAGCTGTCTCAGGTACAGGGAGTTTGTGCCTGCAGTGCTGAAGCCCACGCTGCTGGTGTGGAGGCGAAGCCCTTAGGGTGTTTGCAGGCTGCTCCCCCCTAGCCGCCCTCCCGCAGCGGGAGCCATTCTAGTCCTGCATTGGGAGGGTGGGCATCATGCTTAGGGGGCCCAGAGGCAGGTTTCAGATGATTCTTCCTGTGGTGACAGCTTCCTCGGGCAGCGCCTCCGCAGCTGACCCTGAGCCGCAATGCTCCCCGTGCCTCTCCTCTCGTGCCGAGCTCAGCTGGTAATAAAGATCGGACGGGGGCTCCATAGAGAGGGGTCTGGTCTCTTCTGGATGAAGGAAGGTGGGCCCATCTTTGGCTCCTCAGGGTAACACAGCAGCTGGCTCCCTTCAGTCTGGAGGGCCTCTGGAGTAGAGTCTAGCTTATAGCTGTGGGTCTAACAGCTGGCTTGAAGTGAGCTCTGTCTGGGGTAGGACCAGAAAAAACTGTTAGCTCCCCGTACTTCTGCTTCCAGGTAAGATGTCCACACTCACCGTGACCCGAGGTGGTCTGTTCACGCGTGTGTTCCTATGTCCGTGCATGTGTTTCAGAGACTACAGTCAACTTCACATCTACCTCTGGAACCACTCTGTTCCCCGAATCCACAAACTCTTCCATCCAGTCACAGACCTCCCCAGACACCTGGGCGTCCTCCACCCCAGTGGTCACCACCACAGGAAACACGTCGACTTCAAACGTGACCTCGGAGCCCAGCACAGCCCCTGTCAGTGTTTTGGATTACTCGTCCACTGGCACCAGCCCTGTGGCGACGTCGCCCACCGAACTCTATACGTCATCCTCTCCTGCCCCGAGCATGGTCCAGGTGGGTGCACCGGGCCCGAAATGCCCCTCGATGCACATGTATGGGACCAAGCTCTCTCTCCCCTCCTTCCTGCTAGCCCGTGAGATTTGGGTCACGTGGGGATCAGCATGGAAACATGCGCTTTCCATACTGCCGAGAAGTGTAGAAGCCAGGAAAAGGGTGGAGTCTGGTGGCAGGCTGATCTGTGCTTTGGGAAATAGAAAGTAAAAGAGACTCTCAGAGGTCATCCGGCCCTCGGCATCCTTTCGGTACCTGTGGGTGTGGCTTTGACCGTGCATCCTTTCCCTTTGGGAATTTGGAATCCATCCCCTATTTAATGAAGCTGCTTCTCCCAAGGCATTTAGGACACATAGTGTTTCCTGCAAGTGAGAGAGTCTGGTGGTTGTGGCAGGCATGGAGGTGCAGGAGGACATCATTGGCAGGGGTAAGAACTGGGTACCAGAGATGGTGAGCTCAGCCTGTCCTTCTTGGCCTTGAGATCGTGGCTGTCAGTGGCTTGAGAGTGTGGAGCTTAAGGACATGCAGGAGGGGCCTGCCTGGTGTCTGTTTTTTAAGAGCCAGCGTAGGGATCTGGAGTCTGTCTGGCCACCTCGTTATCTGTTTGCCTGCTTGGCCTTCCTGAAAGCGTGTAATTTCGTTAAGGGAAAACAACTCAAATAGGAAAAGACCCTGCTCATCCCACATCTGTGTCATCCAAGCCAGTGTTTACCGGGATTGCAAATAGTCTCCTGCAAGCCCAGGCTGGTAAGCAAAGGCTTGATTACGCGTGAGGGCAGTGTCAGGTGGAAGGGGAAGGAGGAGGCAGGCTGATACCCCTTATCTGAAATGCTCAGGGACAGAAGTGTCCTGGGTTGGGGATTCTTAAAAATTTGAAATATTTGCAGATACATAATGAGATATCTTGGGGATGGGGGTCAAGTCAAAACCCTAAATTTACCTGTTTTATAGTACACCTTAATGCACTCAGCCTGGAGGTGACTTTGTGCAGTACTTTTCAGTAGTTTTGTGCAGAAACAAGGTTTCATGGTGTGAATATCCCTACTCATGTCAAGTTTTGGATTTTGGAGCATTTCAGATTTTGGATTTGGGAATGAGACATGCTCAATTTGTATGAAAAACCTCTGGTCCCCTAACACTTTTTAAAATGTCCCTTTCCCTAAAACTTTTAAAGAGAGTACCTCGCAGAAATCAAACTGGACAGGGCGTGGGGGAAAATGAAGACCAAAGATGGTCATGTATTTGCTTTGTTTTTGTTTTAATACAGGGAGAAATCAAATGTGCAGGAATTAAAGAAGTGAAATTGACTCACAGCATCTGCCTGGAGCTCAACAAGACGGCCAGCTGTGTAAGCGATCCCGCCCCTCTCCCTCGCCCACCCTCTTCCCACTGGCTTAGGTCCCCGAGCTTTGGCGGGGTCTGGGGGTTCAGCAGGGCCTGGCTGCTTCTCATACTCAGCTTTGGAGTTTGAGGCCCCATCTAGTGGGCAGAAAAGCAAACGCAACTTTAACTGCCTTGGGTTTTGATGTTGTCACACTTACATGTGCTTTGGTGTGAAGTGTCTGCACTGTCTATAGACCAGCCGGCTGCAGTGTCAGTTCTTGTGTTACAGAGAATTATTTTGTTGCAATGCTAGAGGGATTTACAGTTTTACAGCTTATGTTAGTTTGTATGTGTTCTGGGCATACTCTTCACAGACTTGTGTTCGTCTGTTTTAAATTCTTTTTTAAAAAAACTTTTGTACTTTTACTTGACAGTACTTGTAATATCCAACCAGAAAGGTCTTTCCTCATTATACTCTAAAAGGAGCAAACCGGTTCCCAGCTCTTCTTTTAGAAAATCTTTGGAGACATACCTGTCAAGACCACCCCCCCAACACACACACACAAGCCACTGAAATTTTTAATTGGAACTGCTCTAAGACCCTTCAGGATTTTTCTTAGTGTTCTTTTGTATCTCTTGGCATTTTGTAGCTCTCTTCTTTTGTATTTTTAAGTTTTGAAACACTTTCCCAAGCTGGGTGTGGTGGTACATGCTTGTAATCCCAGCATTCTAGGGGGCTGAGTCAGGAGGGTTGCTTCGAGTTTGAGGTCATCCTGAGCTACGAGTGAGTTCAAGGCCAGCTTGGAGTACATAGTGAGACTCTGTCTCAAAAAAAAGAAAGAAAGAAAAAGAAAAGAAAACATTGTCTCTGGTTATTTTTTTCTTTTTGGAGTACTGGGGATGGAATCCAGGGCCTCCCATGGGCTAGGTAAGTGCCGTACCACTGAGCTGCACCCCTAGATCCTTGTCCTATAAGTTTGATGGAGTTTTTTTTTGTACTGGAAATTGAACCCATGGCCTTTTCACTGAGTTATATCCCCAGGCTGCAGCCCCCCTTGCAACAGGCCCTTGCCAATGAATTTTTGATCTTCCGTCTCAGCCTCCCAGAGTGCTGGGATTATAGGCATGTGCCACCACACCTGGCTCAAGTTTGAAGGGCTTATGAAGGTTATTAATAGCACAGATATCCTACTATACACTCTAATTCATTGTTGCCGAGATGTTAGAAAGTTAGGGAGTTTTGAATAATTATCTAGGGTTTGTACATTTTCTTAAACTTGCTTATTAATCTTGGGAGCTTTTTAGTTGGTTCTTTTTAGTGTTTGAGGTAAACTACCACAGTACCACAGTGGGCATTTCCCACCACAGTGTGTTGTTTTTCTCCTCCTAGTGCTTCTGCCTCGTGCTTCACTTTTGTGTCTTACTGTGTCGGTGGGCATGAGGATGGGGCGTTACTCTTTGATGGACACAGCAGGCCTCCTTGCTCTACTTCCTGTTCTAAGTCCCTGACAGTCACAAGGCTCTAGGGGAAGGACAGGGTGCAGAGAAGAGTGCTTACAGAAAAGAGCATTTGCTTACAAATTGGAGACCTACACAAGGAAAGCATGTGGACAGGCACAGATTGGAAAGGCCGCAGTCCAGAGAGGGATTCAGTTACTGATCTTGGCCATCCTGACTACTGCTTTCTCACCTGTGACTGAGTTGGGTCTCCCTGACTTACAAGTCTTTTAAAGTTATACCTAAAGGAATTATTTGCTTAGGGACATTTAAAAACAACAAAAATCGTTCAACCAACAAAATCATTCAACAACAAAAAATCATTCAAAAACAACCAAAAAGGTTCACAGAATAGAATAACTCAGTGTAGTGTGCAAAACAGTTAAATGTGAATATACAGTGTAGAAGCAACAGCCCCTGTCTTTCTGATGCTGATTTTCGACCCTACTCGTTAGGAAAACTTGTCCAAGTCTTTGTTTATTATAGCTAAGGGAAACAGCCATCTTTCCCCCACTATCATCTGGAACAGCTATCTTCCCGGGTGTCGCAGGGCTTTGTCTCTGCTGGACCGCCAATTCTGGGTGAAGTGTGGCGCACTCCAGGTGTCTGTTACTCTTCCAAGTTTGCCTTTAACGAGGGCCATTGTGGAAGGCAAGTGCTCCGCCGCAGTCAGCTCCTCTTTCTCTGTTCGAGCCTCTTTGTCTCTGGTCTTTGCTCTCCAGTTTGCTATGTGCCACAGCTGGAAAGGCCTCTGCAGGTTTCCTGAGATTTGGGGGGTGGGGTTTGGGAAGACAAGGGCTCCCCAGTGTCCAGTGCTATTGCACGGCGCCTGGGCAGCACGTGTACAGGGCTGGCGTCCCCTGGTGTTTCTGCCCCATCCCTTCCCTTTCTTCCTGTGGGTGCCTTTTCCCCAGCTCCAAAAGCAGAGTTCCTCCTGCCACCTCCCGGGCTAAGTTTCCCTCAGCCAGAAGGTCTGGGTCCAGAATTTTCAGCCACAGCTCCCAGCTCTATCCCCGATTCCTGTCTGTGGCTCCTTCCTCCTCACTGCCAGTCTGATAATCTGCCCGCTAGTGAGAATGTGACTGTCCTGCAGGCTGTGAGGAGAACTGTGCCGCTGCTTTTCCACAGCTGCATTTGTACTTCTGGTGTCAGTGGGTCTTGAGGTGCTGTTTCTGCCCGTGAGGTACCTGGGCCCTACCCACAGCTTGATGAGGAATGTGAACGATCACGAAAGTAATGTCAGTGTCCACCAGCATCTAGTCCAGCCTGTCACTCTACGTGGCTGGTTCTCAGCCATCCAAACCCTCACTTTGCCCCCATGCATTCTACGAACCGCTATATTCATTCTTCCTGTGCTGGTTGCTGCCTTAGTTAATTTTTTCATTGCTGAGTCAGAATACCTGATACCCAAGGTTAAAGAAGGAAAGGTTTATTTTTGACTTAGTTTGTAGAAGTTTCAGTCCACAGTTGGTCAGCTCCAAGGAAGGGTGGCACGGCTGAGGGGTGTTGCAGAGGAGAAATCGTTAATCATGGGTACAAGGCAGGAGGCAGCAAAGTAGGGAAGTATCGCAGAAGCAAGCAGCAAGCTGCAAGCAATGACAACAGCAGCCCTCTTTCTGTCTCTTACATTTTATCCAGGCTACCTGCCCTTCAACACTCACACACTTAATCCTAGCATTGCACCATGATTCAATCCCAGGATCACATCCTTAATCCCAGCATCACACACTCCAGATCCCACTACCTCTGAAAAGCCCCACCTACGACTGCGTGAGGCTTTGGGGACCGTCTAGACACCAGCCGCCACAGTTACCTGGGCCTGTCTTCTGTAGATGTGCTTTGCAGACACCAGGATCCCAGTATTTCCCCCTTTGCTCCCCACCCTTCTCCTCTTGTCAGTCAGCGGGAGGGAAGGCCATGTCGCCTCTTCTGGAGCATCCGTTCTCCCTCTCAGGACCCTCATTAGCAGAGTCTCCCCAGGTCTGACTCTTGTCCTCTCTGCTCTAGTGTCTGCTTAATTTAGTTTTTGTGGCTGTGGTTCCCCAAATAGTTTCTAAACTGTAAGATGACTTTATTCTTTTTTTTTCCCCATTAAGTTTATTGGTACATTTTAGGTATGAATTACAGTTATATTCATCATTGGGATCTTGTACCTGTACATGATGTATCTTGGTTCTTATTTTTTTCCCCTTCCTCTGCCCTCCCTTCACCCCCTCCACCCTTCCCTATTTGCATTTTTTTCCTTTTCTCATATTTTTTCTTTTCCCTTCTTTCCTTTCCCCTACCCCTCCCACTTCCCTTGCTCCTTTAGACCTTTTCTTCCTATTACACAATATCAATTACACATTTTTAAAATTACAGTATCAAGATCTAGGAGACATTACCACAGATCTCACAGAATTTAAAAGGCTATAGAAAGCATATTACAAAAATCTGTTTTGAAATAAATTTGACAACTTCTAAGAAGTACCTTGGAAGACAAATTAATGAGACTAACTCTGGAGGATATATAACATTTGAATAGCACCTATTAAAGAAAGTATATTCCTAGCTTGAAAACCTAGATGACTTTATTCTTATGCGATCCCCTTTGCAGTGTCAAAGTGTGCAGTTCGTAGTGTTGAGCACACTCATGTAGCCTACCTCCAGAAATCCTCGCCTTCCAAAACTGAAAGTCTTTACCCATGAAAACCTTCGCACTTCTCCAGCCTTGACAACCACTATTCTCCTTTCTACCTCTGTGAGTTGGTTCCTCTTAGTTCCTCATGTGAGTAGTATCGTGCTGTCATCCTACTGCAACTGGTGTGTTCCCCTCAGTAAATGTTCTCAATTCATCCATGGGTAGCGTGCATCACCAGTGCCTTCCTTTTTAAAGCACTGTATGTATGTCATTTATTGTATAGGCAAATAATTTTTTCTCTGTACATTTATTGTGTCTGCAGCTTGTTTATCCTTTCATGTGCTGATGGACACTTGGTTTTTTTCTACTTTTTGGCTATTTTGCGAATAATACAGCTATGAACATGAGTGTGCAAATATCTTTTCAACACTCTGATTTCAGTTCTTTTGGATGTGTATCCTGAAGGAGCACTGCTGGATCATATGGTAACTCTGTATTTGAATTTTTTTTATTTTTTTTCTTTTTTGGTACCGGGGTTTGAACTTAGGACCTTGTGCTTGCAAGGCAGGCGGTGGAACCACTGAGCTAAATCCCCAGACCTGTACTTGAATTTTTGAGGAACTATCATATTGTTTTTCCAAGTAACTATACCGAAGGGCTCCACTTTCTCCATATCCTCCTTAACGTTATCATATTCTGGTTTTTTGTTTTTGCTTGGAAGTAGACATTCTAATGGATGTGACGTGATATCTAAGTGAGGTTTCCATTTACATTTCCCTGAAGTTTAGTGACGTTGAAAATCTTTTTCTTTTTTAATGGGCTTATTGGGCATTTGGATACCTTCTTTGGAGAAATGTCAATTCAAATGCTTTTTCCACAAAATTAGCTTTTAGAACTCCCTTTATTTCCACATCTGCGGGCATGCAGTTTCCATCTACCCAACTAGCTCTCATTACTGTTGTCACAGTGACTTCATCGGAGTTAGGCTGCCTCCAGCCCCTGCTGGACACTGAAGGTTGGTTCCCGAATGGAAGGCATAAGCTACAGATGAGGATTTATGAAGACAGCATGTCTCCTGGAGGAGCCAGAGAGCTGGGGACTCCGGACTCTTTGTCCTTGGTCAGCAGCCCTCGTGCTGTGTGACCTGTAACAGGTCCCTTACTTATTCCAGTCCCAACATAAAACTACAGTTTTAATGCGCATTGTCAGGGTCACACAGCAAGGCAGACCAAACTTGGAAAGGTGTGGCTAATAGGAGAGGTTTGGTCCTAGAAGCCCAGCATTAGGAAATATTCTAAAGGTCGTTAAGAAAAATGCCCACCCTGCCCCCAGCCCAGTGCCTGGTACGCTTCTGCCACCCCTCAGGAGACTGCAAAGTTGGAGGATGCTATTCTAGAAAGCTTGGCTGGTTCCATTGCTTTTGCAGAGTCGCATGTGTGAGTCGATGGAGTCAGGGACTTGTAAATCTGATTCTCATAAAGAGCTCTGGGCAGCTGTGGCTTCCTCCTGCCCACTTCCCATGATGTTTGCCCGCAGCATCCCTGGAGGGAGGATATTGATTCGCAGCATCCGGAAAAGCACTGTGCTTTGTTCAGGACCCACCTGCTCCTCTCTGGCCCAAACACAATTCAGCGAGACTGTCGGATTCCAGAGTGGGAGGCTGGCCACCCTTACTCCCTTGAATTTAGTCCAAGGAGCCAAACAAGTAGTGGGGGACCCGGTGTGGAGGCAGCCAGTCCAGGCATTGGGCTGGACAACAGTTCCCTGAGTGCTTTTGTTTGTTCGGTGCACTTTGGGTCCAAGGCTATGTGATGTACACCCTTCCTCCCCGGCCCTCTCTCAAGCTAAGCCAGAGAGAAACAGCAATCACAGCGCTGCAGAATTGAACCAAAAGATGAATCCTAAAGGGTGTGGCGGCACATACCTGTCATCCCAGCCCTCTGGGAGGCTGAGGCAGGAGAATCGAAGGCTTGGGCCTAGCCTGGGCGACTTGGGGACTTGGGGAAGCCCTTTGTAAAATAAAGAATGAAAAAGGTCTGAGGATGTAGTTCAGTGTGGAGGCCTTAGGTTCAATTCCCAGTCTGCAAAAAAAAAAAAAAAATCCAGATGATACAGTCTAAACAGGGAACAGTTTGCTATTATTAATGGTAGTCATAGCTACCATGTACCTAGGCCCCCCAGGTTCCTAGTACACCGGAAATTGTGTTTTCATACAGTTTCTCTGTAGTCACCACAGCCCACCGCACCGGTGAGGAGCCAGATTCCCAGACCAGTTGCATGACTTGCCAAGATTCAGGTAGACGGCAGAGCCAGGCTTGGGGTGCAGTCTGCCAAAGTCGGGGCTGGCTCCGGAGGCAGCGGCTTTGCCCTGGGCTGGGGTGGAGAGGGGCAGCGGGCAATGGCAGGAGTCCTCTGCCTCTTGCAAGCGGGGTTGCCAAGCCGGGCCTCCTCACACCCTGGGTCGCAGGCTTGGACCCCTCCAGCCAGCTTCCCCTGCACCCGCCCCGCCTGCTCCTCCAGCTGTGCTTTGAGATGTTCCTGCTGACTCCACCCAGATCTGTCCCGGCATCTGTATGTCCGCGGCACTTTGGTGTTGTCCCTTTCTTAGGATCTGGACGTGTAAATCGTCTCCTTATGCTTTAATTTCTCTGTCTGCAAAATAAAGAGGAAAATAACATCCATCTTGTAGAGTCTAGGAGGCCTAAGGAGCCAGTGTCCGAACAGCACGTAGGCCAGTGCCCTAGACATCACACGCAGCAATTATTTTTATTTTACTTATTTATGTTGTTGTTACTTTTGAGGCAAGAGGGTTCTGTGTAGTTTAGGCTGGCCTTGAACTCACAGCAATCCTTCCGCCTCAACCTCCTGAGTGCTGGGATTACAAGTGCTGCATAAGAAGTGAGGGATCTGATCGTGTGGCAATTGTGTGGAGATTGCAGTTACACTTCTCACTCCCATCTCTACCTCTGCACACGCGCTTGCACACACACGCACACGCAGTTTGTGCAGGGTGACTTAGGTTCAGGGCATGGTGAATGTGGAGCAGCTGACATTGCCCGGCTCAGCTTCTCAGGCAGGGCAGCCGGGCAGTGCCCTTGTGCTGGCTGATTTGGATCTGTTAGGAGCCCCGTCCTGGCCTCTCCAAGGAGCAGACGCATTTTAACCACAGACCCTGTGGAAGCCCAGAGTCACTGCCTTCAGAGGCCGGGTGGCGCGGGAGGCCGTGTGGTTTAGGGCGGTTGAGGTCAGGCTGCCCAGGCGGCCCAGGGAGAGCCCCACACTCGGGACAGGACTTCCCAGGACCGGAGCTGGCTGGGCTAAGATCAGCGTGGGTACCGAGCTTCATTTCCCCAGGGCCTGGCCAGACCCGGGTCTGTGTCCGGATTGGTCAGCTGTGCTCTTTGGCCTCGCCCGGCCCAGTTATTTTCCCTCAAGATTTTCCCTCAGACCAAGGAGGGCACCTCCCTGTGGAGAGGCTTCAGGAAGGAGGCCTGGGAGGGAGAGCAGGGCCTGGGCCTCTGAGCTGCACTTTCCCTGCGGCCGTGGAGCGCACAGCATTATCTACACGGCACTCCTCAAATCAGATGTTGTGGCCAGGTGTGGTTCACTCACCGGCCTGCAGGCCCAGGCGGAAGATCACAAGTTCAAGCCCAGCCTGGGCAACTTAGCAAATGTCTCAAAATAAAAATGAGCTGGAGATTTAGCTCAGTGTGAAGGCGCTGGGTTCTATTTCCAGTACTGAAAAAAGAAAACCAGACTAGAAAGATTGTCTCCTAAGTTTGTTCTCTGATGTCTTTAACACTAATAGGTACGTATTTTGGCACTGGGAAATTTTCTCAAAATAATCTTACTGTATTTTTGCACATGTACAGTTGGCAGTATTCTTCCCCCACTGGAACTTTAGAAAAGGGCCTCTTTCCTATGGAGGGGATAATAATGAGATTTCAGTGAAAATTACTATCTGAGACTTGATAGAGTAATTCTGTCTCCCGCAATCTGTTTTCCTCTCTTCCCAGGAGGACTTTAAGCAAGACAAAGGCGAGGGCCTGGTCCGAGTGCTGTGTGGGGGAGAGGCTGGTGCCCAGGCTGAGGCCGCCACGTGCTCCTTGCTCCTAGCCCAGTCTGAGGTCAAGCCACAGTGTCTGCTGCTGGTCTTGGCCAATAGCACAGGTACGGGCACACCTGTATGGGGCCCACAGAGCACGGGCCGATGGGGTTGGGGTGAGAAGGTCCCCGGTCTCCGTTCCAGGGACCACCAGTGCTGGGGAAGGGCCTCCCTCCCCATGGGAGCCTCTTCCAGAATGGTGCGGGAGGGTAGGGAAGGAGGAGCTCATTTAGCTTTAGCAACCTGTGTTTCTAACTCCAGAACTTTCCAGAAAACTTGATCTTTTGCAAAAGCACCAGCCTGACCTGGAAAAGGTAAGTTCTCTAAGGTGGTGGTTCTCTGGGGGCACAGGTCAGGCGTGGTCCTGGAGCAGGGGAGGGAGTGATGCTCTCTTGCCTTCCAATCACTCTGTCTTTTTACGACAGTCTTCATCCTCCTGGGTTGGAGCCAGAACCATTACAGTGCAGCTCAGTTAAGAGATGTCCATCTTAATTCTGGCTCAGAAACCCTCTCTCAGTGTCCTCTTGTGTCACCACCGAGTTGCGCACTGGGGTCTGGAATGGGCTGGGCTCCTCTTCTAGAACTCTCTCCCCAGTGACTAGCCACCTTCTCTGTCTTCTTCTCAAGCTGGGGATCCAAAGTTACATGGAACAAGACGTTGGGAGCCACCAGAGCTATTCTCGAAAGACTCTGATTGCACTGGTCACTTCAGGAATCCTGCTGGCCATCCTGGGCACCACTGGCTATTTCTTGATGAACCGCCGCAGTTGGAGCCCCACAGGAGAAAGGCTGGTCAGTCCTGGCAAAGGGGAGCAGGGGGATGTTTGTGGATGTCATAGAGGGAGGAATATCAATAAAAGCATTTGCATGCCCTGATGGAGAGAGATGGATACACACAGACACGTATCCATGGATGCACAACAAACACGGTCGGGGGGTAACTGGGGCCTGCCCAGCACTCACTGTCAAAGCAGATGATTCATCTCTTCTGCTCGGAGTGTTCCTTGGGAGAGTTTAGCTGGGTATAACCAGAACCAGCTGCTAAGTCAGCCATGCTTATTTGCAAGCTTATTAAATGTCCAGCATATGCCACCTGTTCAGGCAAAGGGGACACAGGGAAGGAAAATGCACTCTGACTGTTCGGGGTGGGGGAGGACAAGGCTGACATTTGGTTATTGGCCCCTGGGTGTTAACCTGCTCTGGGGAGGCTGCTGCACCGTGGGGCTGCGTTTTTCTCATGGGAGCTGGCTGCCAAGCTGCGCTGACCCGGTGTGGTGCCTCTCCTCTGTCCTTTCTCCTCTAGGAGCTGGAACCCTGACCACTCTCCAGGAGGAAAGGAGTCTGCACACACAGCTGCACCCCTGCCCACTCTGGTCCCTTCCCCAGCTTCCTTTGATCTCTCCCTGCTCAGCACCTCACGCCCCTGCTTACCGGATAATGCTCCTTTATTTGTACACTGTCTAGGGTGAAGACCCTTATTACACGGAGAACAGTGGAGGCCAGGGCTATAGCTCAGGACCTGGGGCCTCCTCTGAGGCTCAGGGAAAGGCCAGTGTGAACCGAGGGGCTCAGGAGAACGGGACCGGCCAGGCCACCTCCAGAAACGGCCATTCAGCGAGACAACATGTGGCTGATACCGAATTGTGACTTGGCTGGGTGGGCCAAGATGGGCAGTGTCGAGCAGCGCCCCCTGCCCCTGACTGTGAGCTGCCGCCATGGTGGGGGTGATGTCCCTCACCTCCTACCTTCTCCTGCTGCACATACCCCAGATGCCCGCCCCTGGGGCCTTCCACCTGGCAGCGAGGCAGGTCTACCCCAGCCCTCTGCCTTCAGCCCTCCAGACCCAGATTGTGGTCTTCTTTAGGTTCAGCTGTGGCGAGGAAAGGCCATGCACGGTCCAGGGGAGCTGTCCTGGAGGCTGTGGGCCCAGCGGCCTCCATGCTGGGATCCCTGGCTCCTTCCCTCCTGGTTCCTACAAGAACCTGAGGGGAAACGGTGGTCTTCCTAAGCTATAGGATTGATCCTCCCAGACTCTCGCTTTTACTGTTCCTGCTTCTATTTTCTTTCTCTACTTTAGGGAAACCAAAGTAATGCCTTGAGCCTACTTCCCTTGAACAACGCAGCCAGAAAACATGTTTCTCAAACCAGTTCCTTGTCCCTCCTCCAACACACTGCAGAGCTGGTCACCAGCTCCTCACATGCTGTCCACATTCCACCAAGCTTGGTGTGGCCCCATCTTGTGCATACCGAGGCTGGCACCGTGGAGCCTGGAGTCGAATCCCGTGAGTTAGAACAGACTGCTCAGTCCTGGCCTTGGGCCACACAGCACGTCCTTGGATCCCGGTGGACAGGCTCACAGGACAAGACCCTTGAGCCGAGCCTCCTGGCCATGCTCTTCTCAGGCCTCCCTTGCACTAAGGCTGGGTCCTGGCTGCTCCTCGGACCCCCGAGGCCTGCCCCTTCCTCCCCTGCTCCTGGTAGAGCTGGGCCTCACGGTAGCCTGTGTCCGCCTTCCCAGCTATGAACCCCTTCACTGTGCCACACCCCGTGTGGCTGGAGCCCCAGGACATCTCCCAAGGACCACAAGCTGCCCCTCTGGGAGTGATCCGGGCCTTGTTTTTCCAGAGGGGTGAGTGGGGGTCCTGGTTTCAATGACGGTTGGAAATAGAAATTTCCAGAAATTGAGTGTTTTTGCTGAATAAAGGGTGGTGTGTGTAAATACTGTAATTAAAGTGATCCTGAAATTATTGTGTGGCTGGGCTGGGTGTGTCTGGCAGTGACGTCCGTCCCCACCTGCCGTGGCTGGACTGCAGAACAGTGGGGAGGGGACACCAGGGAAGAGGAGGCGCCATCTGACGGCTCCAGGACGCTGAGGACCTGAGCCTAAATTGGCCAACTGCTCTCCTCCATGGGGCAGGAAGTTTCCAGGGTTAGAGATGAAGGCTCAGATGGTGAAGTGAAGCTCAGGAGCGGGCGCTGAGGACTTGGGAACCCCCTTCTGAGAGGGGCAAGCTAAACACGGAATGCAAAATAATAAAGACAAAGCTCCACTGCCAGACTGTGCCTTCACCAGGCCAGAGCAAGAAGAGCGAGGAGCGTTTTTCCCTGTTGGGGACTGTCCCAGAGCTCTGGCCGCGATGCAGAAAGGAGCACCGCCTTGCACCCGCAGGATCTCCCAGCCTCTAAGCCCTCGCTCCCCACGTTGCGGCTCCCCTGGCCACAGGAAGTGGGGGAAGGCTGCCGGACAGCGCGCAGCCTCAGGAAACACCGGCCAGTGCGTCAACAGTGGCCGAGGCAGCGGAGGCCAAACAAAGGTTGATGCTTCCATTCTTATCTCCGCAGAGCCAGGCTTTCCCTCCAGCAGCCCCTGGGCACACGCCCCTCCTTTCCGTCTGGCGCTTCTCCAGCTGCTCTGACCAGTGGCTCCTCTCCTGGACTCAGCAGGGGTGAGGAGGGACTCTCACCTTCCTAAGACGGTGGCAGATTTGGGGACTGGGGAAAGGGAGGAAGGTGTTGGACAGAGAAGTCGCGCTGGCCCCCTCTCGTGGACGCGTGGCCGAGTGCCCAGCTGGCAGTCTCGAGGTGCCGTGCAGGCCAGGAGCGGGTCCTTGCGTATGCACTGCTCAGACGTGCAGAAGCTGCTCGGTCCCGCAAAGCCCCGCCCTGAGTTTCAGAGCATGTGGGCTTTGTGGGAAGGGGTTGGTGGGTGTTGGCAATGGAATGGCGTGTCTCCGTGGCTGCTTCTCTGGGAGGCCCCAGAGCTGGCCCTGAGAGACTGCGTGCCTCCGGAAAATCAAACTGCCCTCCTTTGGCCTGAGCGTCTCGGTGCAGCAATGCCGCCACCCGTTGGCCTTACTGAGCTCCTGCTTGGCCTCAGTCCAACCGACTCCATGTTGGGTTTTCCTCTTACTCTTGCCCCACCCTTAACTGGCTAGTCCAATTCATCTCACACACAAAGCTCATACAACCATAGAAAGGCACCGTGGGGAGGATTTTGAAAATATATTCAGTCCAGCTCCCTGTGGTGCAGTTAAAGGAACTAAGGCTCAGAGAAAGGATGTGGCTCCCCCAGTCACCTAGAATTCAGATCCAAAACTTTCCCCTCCGTCCAGTCCCCCAGGCCTTTGGGCCCCCCAGCTGGACGCCGGCCCCACTGTGGTCAGTGGTCAGTGGTCAGGATAGTGTAGGGCTTCCCTACCTGCCCCTACGAAGCAGCACTTCATCAACACACGCGGTGCCAGGCCTGGCCAGCCGAGCAGGTCCTGAGCCCAGAAACAAAGATGCGGGGTGGGGGGGCTCGGCTGCCTCTCGGTGCCCTGGCTGCGCTCAGAATCAACCCTGGAGTGTCACACTGCTCACTGTGGGAAGACGCTGGACAAGAAGATGCTCTGCGTCTGGACAGACGGGTCATCTCCACCCCAGCCTTCCTAGGTAGACCAGCCCCACGTTTGCTGTTCACAGAAGTCCAGGGGTAGGTAAGCCGTTGTGGGCAGCGGGGTGCTGCTTTGTTTCCACAGCACCCTGCGAGTGTTTACAGGCCTCCATTCAGGCACTGGGATCCTCACTGAGCACTTCCTGTGTGCAGCCACTCTTCTGAGGACACGGAAACTACTCATGGAACTTACAGTTCTAGCAGAGGAGACCGACAAGTGACTTTCATCTCAGTAAATATATTTCTGCCACCTGGCTCACAAGCTCAAGGTTCTGAGTTTGATCCCCAGTTCCAAAAAAGAACCCAAAACAAAACTGATTCAGTAAACATATAGTTTCAGGCTATGTTAAGAGATATAAAAAATAAAGCACAGAAGTCTACCTTGGCATAGGGGATCCATTCTGAGACCCCAGCACTGAGATGCTGAGAGGGAGGAGCTGATAACCATGGATATGCTGGACAGCGGCACGATCCGGACCAGGACAGGACAGACCATGACAGAGTGTGATTTCATCACGCTCCTCAGAAAGGCTCGCCATTTAAAGCAAGTGAGTTGCTCTTCTCTGCAGTTTTCCACTTAATATTTCAGATGTGACTAACCACAGGTAACTGCAGCAGTGAAAGGCAGCACTACAGGTACGGGCAGATGAGTGCAGAGTGGTCGTGAGGGTGGTTGCTCTTTAGGAGGCCGAGGTGCTGAGCAGAGGTGCACTTGACAGAAGCTGTAGACTGGGCTGGGCGTCCTCCTGCATCAGGGGAACAGCAAGCACGGAGGCCCATGACAAAAAGCTGCCGAGCCTGTGAGTGAGGGAGGTGGAACTGCCGCTGGGGCAGCATCCGGGAGAGCAGGAGAGGGATGGGGCGGAGCACACCAGCGTTCACGTTCACAGGAACAGAAGAGCAATGCCATCCAGTTGATGTCGGCTGGGCGTGGAGTGGAGAAGAGGAGTAGACGGAGAAGACAGTGAGAGGAAGGAGAGTTGGCAGACCCTCAAGACAGTGTCCAGGGAAATGACCAGGAGCGGGAACCGGCGGCAGTGTTGAAAGGGGCGAGGATTCAAAAGATTCGAAGACAGGGCTAGTTGAACTTTCTTCATCTGTCCATTCCTTCAGATAACACAGTAACAGTGACAGTTATAACATTTATTGAGTTATGAAAACTGAGAAGCTGAACCAATACGTAGTGTAGTCTGATACTCACAGGACTCAGATGAAGCAGGTACTATCCTTTCGAAAAAGAAACGGCAACTCACAGAGAAACAAGGATGCAGAGCCCAGGTTGAGTAGATCCCAGTGAAAACACAAGAAAAGACTAGATGAAGGGCTGTGTATCCAGAGGTGGGTAGGACTCCTTCCACTGGAGACCTCCAGGGCTGGGTCTCTGAAGATGGGTAGGACTTTGATGGCAATACTCAGTGAGGACATTTGCTGGCAGAAGAGCACATGCAAGATGTGGAGTCAGGGAGGTACAAGGTAACTTCAAAGGACAGTCTTTTCCTGTGTGGCTGAGAAACAGGATGTGCTAAGGGAAGCTGAGCACCAGAACGATCAACATGTCCGTTTGAGTAGGGCATGTAAAGCCAGACCAGAGAGTTTAATTTTATTCTGTAGAAAATGGGGAGTCCCAGAAGAGTTTCCATTTATTCATCCATTTATATCTTCACAGTGTCACCCAATCACCACAGGACAGGTGTTGCTACGTCAGGTACTCGGGATAAGACCAGGTTCCCTCTGTGGGTCTTTATGTTGGTGGATGCTGACCACAGAATGCTTCGCATTGAGCCTAGGTGCTGTGGTGTGGACGGCTGTGGAGCCCCGGCAGGCCCAGCGGAGGAGACACCTGGGCTGACCTGGGCAGCTGAGCAGGAGATGACACGAGAAGAGAGCTGGGTGTCCCAGGAAGAGGAGGAGGCTTGTCCAGCACAAAGGGAGGGTGTCATTCCAGGGACGGGAGTGAGTCTTTCAAGACCCGAGAAAGAGAATGAGTCTTCTTTATTTCTTCTCTCTTCGCCAAAGCTTTCTTTTGGTTCTGCTGTTTCAAGCGTGTTATCATGGGTCCATGAGGTCTTTGTAGATGGCCACTTTGACGTCCTTGCCAGAGAGTTCCATCTGTCGCCTCGGTATTGGCATCTACTAATTGTCTCTCCAAGTTTCAGTCGAGACTTCCTTGGTTCTTGATTTACATCTGGACATTTGGGGTATTACATTATGAGGCCCTTTGGAAAATCTTCTGTTTCAGCAGGCACCAAAGGTGCAAGTTCTCCCCTCAGCCACTGGCATCTGTGGGGCATGGAGGGTAGGAGGAAGTGGGTGCCTCCTTAGTCCTGGGCCACGGCAGAAGTTCTGGCTCCTAGTCATCTGGACAGTAGCACCCTGGTGCCACGTCATTTCTCCAGTCTGATCTCCCTAGCCTTCCGCCTGTCAGTCTTCTTACCTTTGATGTCTGCATAGTGCCCCGGGATTTAGATGTACTCAGAGAGAGGAATACGGAGAAGTATGTCTGCTCCATCTTGTCTAGAACTGGAAGTTCAAACCAAAACTATGAGGAAGGACAGGAAATCTTGACCCATGAGACTAGCAAATCAGACAGCTATTTCCAGAACCCACTTTCACCATTAAAAATGATTGAGGACTCCAGAAAGCTTTTGATGTTGAGGACTGTATCTATCAATAATTACTGCATCGGACATTAAAACAGCTGAGAGTATAGCTCAGTGGTAGAGCATGCGCTTAAATTAACATCTGTAAGGCCCTGGGTTCAACCCCAGCACCACCTCCTCCCACCAAAAAAAGGAAGAAACGGAGAAGTATTTTGTTTTTTTTTTAACAAATGATGCTGGGAAAATTCGATATTTAAACACAAAAGAATGAATAAAAAAAAAAAAAAAAGGAAAGAAAGGGAAGTGAAAAATGAGAGAAAGAAATTAAAATCCAACACTTATAATTATCCCATTACATAATATATAACGTTTTAAATGAAAAACAATTACATTTTGCACAAGAAAAACAATCAGGGAGAAGGGCGACTTTGTCTTATACTTCAGCCAGTCTCCCTAGTATCTGGCTTTAAGACCGCCATCCTCTGCATGAGTTCAGTCTGGTGTGATGCTTCAGGCTACGTGGCCTCCAGAACCTTCCACGTGCACTTGGGAGAGAGAGAGAGGAGGCGAGCAGCATCGTGCTGTCACCAAGGTAGTTTAGGCTTCAGAACCACCCAGTCCATCCTTCAGAAGGACTGTAGGAACCCCGGGTCCCAGGCTGTGAGTGGCCGTTCCAGACTGCAGCTGCCAGGAAC